GTTTTTTTTTTTTTTTTTGAGACAGAGCCTCAAGCTATCCCCCTTGGGGAAATCCCCCTGTGTTAAAGCTCACAGCAACCTCCAACTCCTGGGCTCAAGTGAGTCTCCTGCCTCCACCTCCCAAGTAGCTGGGACCATAGGTGCCCGCCACAACGCCTGGCTATTTTTTGGTTGCAGCCGTCTTTGTTGTTTGGCGGGTCCAGGCTGGATTCGAACCCGCCACCTTAGGTGTATGTGGCTGGTGCCTTAGCCACTTGAGCCAGCCGAGCCTGGTTCTTTTATATGTAAGCAATCTTAATTCTAATAAGGAAGGTAGGAAGATCAGTGATAGTTAGTCCAATAATTTATAAGTTACATGAGTTAGGGCAAGGCTCTTTCATGCAACATTCTCATTTATAAAATGGGTATAATGTCTTCAATGTGAAATTGCCAATTATATAATAGGAGCTTCACTTTGTTGAATCTGAAGATCGTATTCTGACCAACTGGCCATCAAGTTGAACCAAAATGGATTACAGTAATCAAAATTAGATACAATTCCAATCAATAAATGCAGATATCCTATGTTCTTAGATAAAATACCATAAACCTGTCAATTCCTATCAAATTATGTGAGTGCCAGTTTAGTAAAAATATTAAGAGCATAGTTTTTGGATTTCAAAAAATACTTAGGAAGAACAAATAGGTGGAGATACACAACAAGATTCTGAAAAAGGACGGTAGGGGGTTGGTGAGAGAGAGAAAGGTAGTGAGGAAAAGCTCTACCAAATATTAAAACAAAAACAATAATTGAATGAATAGGCACAGATAACTTCAACAACATATCCTAGAAAGAGACTCTACTAGTAAAGAAAAGTCCAATGATTAAAAAAAAGAATCACCATAAACCATATTCAACTCATCATGAGTTTGGGGTATGACAATTATGACAAAGTATCAATCAGTTCTACTTTATAATTCAAGGCTCATGCAAATGGAAAAAAACCCAGGCAAATTCCTTGAGTTTTATTATATTGGCAAATCGAGGGTTTATATAAGTAAGTTTGACAAAGTAATTAAAATCACCTGCTAGTTACAGGTTTTGATTTGGGTTATCTTTTATCTGAAGTATATATATATATATACACACACACACACACACACACGTATGTCCACATATATATGTACATATTTATATAGCAGTAAAAATGAAACACTAATTAAGACAAAATGAATCAACTTTTGTCATCAGATGTTTTTCTATAAATATGTATATATTAATATTATTCAGTAATATAATTAACAGTAAAAAAGTCTTTCTGGTTAACTTTAGGAGGCATGGATATTATGTCTATTCTGGCCTATATTTTTTCTCTTAAGCAAGCTGGAGAAAGGTTAATATGGGAGCAGTCTCAGAAAGTGACTTGTTGAGGAATTCTCTGTACTAGAGCAGGTAACTAGTGCTGCTCGGCACTGAGCCCAGGAACCACCGGCGGCAGTGGGGCACCGCCAGCCAAACACAAGCACAGGTGCTGCGTGACGAACATTACTACCATGTGCAATTGCCTTATGTCCTAGCACTGTATTTTGAATGACACTAATTTATTAAATAAATTGTGCGCGTGTATATACAGAGAAAGGTAAGTCGTATAAAAGGTTTCAAGAAACACTAGGGAAGTGTCTAGTTGTTGAAAGATCTATTGCACACTGAAAGTGTATTTTGCTCCTAAATACAATGGCTAGTTAACCAAATCACCAAAGCAGTCTAAAATTCTTCCTCCTGTTTCTCTCCTCCGCACATTCTGCAGGAGTCAGCATTGACACATTAATTGGTAAATAATTTAATGAAGGCAAAACATGGTCCTTTAGAAAAGATTTTTATTTTCCTGGCACACAGACATAAGTGACATTTTGCCCCCTATCTAGAGCAGCTTAGACATATCAGAAATGGATGACAACTCACATGTTACAGTATTGATAAATATGATGACAGGTCTGGTGTTTCCCCGATTATCTTTAAAAACTTATTAAAATACCACAGCATTTTTGTTAAACTGGCAAGTTTACTTCTCATTTTAAAGAGATTGATTTGGATTAGTTAAAAATCAAGGCACAGGCCACTGTCGAAATGTAATATACTATTTTCTCCAGTATCACTAAAGAATGAAGCATAAGTGTTCTTTAGTCAAATGACAGTTTTCCTTCTAAAGTCTAAAATTGTTATTGTAACTATGGTGGATGGAATAATGTGTAACATGCCTTCTTAAACTTTAAAACAGACCATACAGAATATAACAATGTTCTTGTATTAACATTCCTCCTTAGGAATATAAAACACTTAGTTTTCTAGTATAACCAAAGATCCTACAAATTTACCAAGGTGGGTATTTATTTGCTTTGCTATAGATAACCCAATATGGCTATATATATATATATATATTTTTTTTTTTTTTCTTTAGACAGAGTCTCAAGCTGTCGCCCTGGGTAGAGTGCTGTGGCATCATAACTCACAGCAACCTCCAACTCAGGCTCTAGTGATCCTCTTGCCTCGGTTTTTCTATTATTAGTAAAGATGGGGGTCTCGCTTTTGCCCAGGCTGGTCCTGAACTTGTGAGCTCAAGCAATCCATCTGCCTTGGCCTCCCAGAGTGCTAGGATTATAGGCGTGAGCCACTACACCCAGCCTGTGGCTATATTTTTTAAATTGTCAACTTGTTTTTTTGTCATATTTAATTGTTGGCTATTAGTTCTTGCTTTGGCTAATTATGTTTTCTGTTATTGTTCATACTTCCTTTAATATAAAACTTAGGGTACAGCATAAAAACTACATAAACCTTTGATGAATTAGTGGTTCTCTCAAGGGAGGTCATTCCTTTTGCCTCTACAGTTTAGAGAAGTTTATACCTATATTGAGCAAGGAAGGAATTAAAGAAGGATTGTTTGGAAACCAGTGTATTTCCACTGATGTTTTCCACTACAGAGAGTGATCACATTACTGTAACAAATGTCCTTAAATTTGTAGGATTTCATCTGCTTTATGAATGACAAAGTCATTCTATCAGATAGATCTGACAAGTCAAATCTATCACGTATAGAACATAAATGTCTTAACACTGTGATTAAGTAAATGAGGTGAAAGCTATGTTAATCAGTAGGATGCTCACTCCAATTTGTACAAATAATCGACACATTGAATCCCACAAAGACATAACTATATTCATGATCTATGTATATATGACTTAATAATAAAAAAAAGATGGGAAACCAGAAAATGAAGCTAGTCAAAACTGTTTCTAAAGGAAGGTCAGCTTTGAAGAAGGGTGGGCAAGTAATATTACAGCAAATTGCAAGCCCAGGTATTCAACAGATTTATATATTATATATATATATGTATTTGCTGCACAGACATTTCAGTTGGCTTGTTTTTCTTTTTAGTTGTAGCTAAAGGATTTGGTATGTGATCTCTAAGAAAAGTACTACTGTACCATTATTTCACTAGCTATAAAAATGACTGAGTAATATTAGATAGTGAGAAAAGGAATTTTGCAACTACTTTCTCCTAACTGAAAGTAGAATAATCCAATTTAAGTGTTTCTTGAGACAAAACCAGTAAAAACAAAAAGCAAAAACCAACTTCCATCTAGGAAAAAAGTGGTACTGCTCAAAGGTGTCAACTCATATAAATGTTAGAAACCTTATTCCTTTTGTGACTTTTTCCTATTTAATTTGAGGTATCTGAACAAATCCCTGGTGGTCTAGTGGTTAGGATTCAGTACTCTTGACCCTGTGAGCTGGGTTTTTTATTTACATTGATTGATTTATGTATTATTAATATCTATTTTTTGAGGCAGAGTCTCACTCTACTGCCCAGGCTAGAGTGTCGAGGGTGTCAGTCTACTTCACAGCAACCTCAAATGCCCGGGGTTGAAGCAATCCTCCTATCTCAGCCTCCTGAGTGGCTGGGACTACAAGTGCCCACCACAACGTCTGGCTAATTTTCCTATTTTTAGTAGAGATAGGGTCTCATTCTTGCTCAGGCTGGTCTACAACTTCCGAGTTCAAGCAATCTTCCTGCCTCGTCCCCCAAGAGTGCTACCATTACAGGAGTGAGCCACCATGCCTGGCCAGGCCTGGGTTTTTTAATTAAAAAAGAAATGTGAATAACTTTTCAAATGATTTTATTGGATTCAAGATAATGATTGAATTATCTGCATGTTTATGAAGATTGTTCTCGGTGCTCAATTTGTAAATGTAGGTTTTGGGTAATGGCAAATTAGTACCTATAATCTGTCAATAGATTTTTGTACATAAACTAAAGACAGTTTAAGTTTTTAGAAAATATAACGTTCTTTTTTCTTTAAAGTTTTCATAAATATGTCCAATAACTTCCATTTTAAAAATGTAAAACTATCTCATATAAGAAAACTAGAACTTAAGACTAATTTTACAAAACCGTTTTTAGGATATTTCCTGATGCTTTGCATTTTTTCCATATATCCCATGCACCATTAGCACAGTAAATTATGTTAAATATCCTGTTGGCATTCATGATATTAAAAAATATTCATGTTATCAGTGAAAAAATAAAAGCATATTTTAAACATCTGTGCTTCATTTATGAACTACGTGGAACCTTCCATCATTCAATATTCACTAAATATTTACTGAACGCAATGAGCAAAGTGTTAAGAACACTACAGCAAATGGAGGGCACGTTAACCAGCTACAGCTTATTCAGTATGTATCGTTACGGAAGATGATATATCACAAGGCAGGGGCGTCCAAACTTTTCCCTTTTTGTACCGCACACTGGAAGCAGCAGCATTTTCTTGGGCCACACATTTTAAAAGAAAGCGAATAAGCAGAAAGAAAAGGTCTGTGCATAATTTTTGCAATATCTGATACCACAGATAAGCAAAATAGGCCTCCCTAGTTTGCATGAGGCCCACGGGCCACAGGCGGTACACCCTGAAAGATACCTTTCCATTTCTCCATTCCACTGCCGTATTTTACTTTCATCTATGTACAAATAGATTAGGTGATGGCTCCTTTTCAAATTCATTTCTAGGCATTTTAGAATATTTACTGAACTCAAAAGGAAACCTTCCATTGGTAATTATAATGTGTCTTCTTGATTCTAATGGAAAGCTACCTCTGTACATTTTTGAAAAACCCTCAAAAAACCAAAAAATCAATGCTTTCATAATCTTACCTAATTGGGCATCGATATTATAATAAATGAGATTTTTAAGATGACTTGAGTCTGTGTATATAAGGCATTTGTATTATCTTATGACCTTGTATTCCATAAGCGACTGCATACTTAATAAATATCCATGAACCAATTATAAATCATAAAGTGTCTCAAGAACAGTAGCAATTGACCAGGCTTGTGTTTCACAGCTGAAAGGACAGTACTGGCCATTCTCATTGGTCAGTTCTGGAAGTCCTTTCCAAGGGGATCTGAAAGAAAGAAAAGACATTTTATGAGACATATTAACAAAATAGGCAAGACCTATCTCGTATAGATGACAATCATATAGTCATTTGCTACAAAATAAAACAATATTCACCAGATGTACATATAAAGAATTTAGACTGAACTTAGTCTTTTATATTTCATCTTTAGGATTTAAGACTTTCAAATACAAAGGAATCCATTTATGTATTAAAAACAGAGAAGAAACCACCATTACAAGCAATATATAAATATAGAGACAGATACCCTCTCAGGCATAATTTTATTCCTTCTGGAGTAAGTTTATGAGATTCAAATTGTAATTATGTAGATATATTAGGTGGGATTTTATAAAACTGTGTAACTAAACAAAGCTATGAAGAAACACGAAGAACTATAATCAGAAAAAAAAGCCATTTCAGAGAACTTTCAACTTGAAAAAAAAAGCCAACTGATTTCTCATTCTACTGAATAAACTTAGCATTTATTATGTACTCATTATGTTCTAATACTAAGTGCTTTATCTACATTATCACACTGAATGTTTCCAGTGACCCTGTAAGGTCAGTAACATAATTATTCCTATTTGTAGAGAGGTAACAGAGATTTCCAGAGGTTAATGTTTCAGGTCTTCCTATCAGAACACTGCATTATTAGCATATCAGACTTAAGATTCTTAACTTCAGTGTAATCCTTTAAATATGAAATACGAATTTAAGAAAACACAAAATACAGAAATCTGTAATGTTTCTTTTTTAAGTTGGGTTGTGAGAACATACCTGTTTTATTATTAAGGTACTTGTAACTCAGGGTTATGTTACATACACATTTCTGTAGTTTCCAAATATTTCATAGTAAAAATGGAAAGAGATAATTCTACTAGGTAAATATAAGAGATTTTGGTTAATAACTCACAATAACATCAGCGTGGTACCATGTTAAAAAAGACTGTCACAGAGAAATAAAAAACATAGAAAATCTTTGTTCCCAAGTATTCAGGCTACTTCAGAGTAAAATGCCAAATTACCGAAGTTGGATACTTGGGTCCCTGTAATGGGTTGAGGTGTGTTCCACTGTGCCTTGCCCCTGCCCCCACCCCCGAATTCATATGTTGAAGCCCTAACCCCAGACTCAGAAAGGGAACCTATCTGGACCTAGGTCACCGTGGATGTAATGTTAAGATAAGGTCATACTGGAGGAAGGTGGCCCTAATCCAATATAACAGAGTTCTTATAAATGGGACAAATCTAGACATAGACATGCATACAGGGTGCCATGTGAAGGCTGGAATTTTGTTGCCACAAGCCATAGAACTACCAGCGGTGAGGAGAGAGGGCTGGAAGAGATCTTGCCCTAGTGCCTTCAGGGGGAAAATGGCCCTGCTTCTGCCTTAATTTCAGATTTCCGACCTCAGAACTGTTAGACCATATTCTGTTGTTTAATGACTTTCATTGTTTAAGTCACTCAGTTTGTGGTGCTCTGTCATGGCAACCCCAGCAAACTAATGTACTACCAGAACTAAGGAACAAAACAAGGTTATAAACCCACTGACATGCTTCTTATAATTAGATTTACACACTGAGACATGGCCATACAGATGTAAGGACTTTTCCATTCCTAAAGCTATTAGGTGGGGCAGAGCAAGGTGGGTCACCACAGCTGCAGAGGGGAGGAGGGAAAAGGGACAGGTAGCATGGAGCGGATGTCAGAGCCCAAGAGGCACGACGGGGGAGTTCACACCAACCGCAGGGGGAGGGTGGTACAGAGTAGGCAATCAGAGCCCAGGGGCACAAGGAGGGTATCCACCCGCAGAGAGGCGGCCTAGTGTGGGGCATTAGGTCCAAATGGGTTGAGCAGACTGTATGGAGTGGTGGGAAGTAGGTTACTCAACTTTAGAAAAGAGAATTGCAATATGGAAAGGGAGAAAAATAGAATTAAACACTGAGGAACAGATTGGAACTGGTGTGAATTCAGGTTTTCACGACAGATGAAGATAAGTGCACGTGTACTCGTATGTCTGTGTGCATCTATTATACATACATATTCCTTAGCTCTACCTACGGGGGGCATAGAGCATGCCAAGTGCCCACATCTGGCTTCTTAATAATATTTGTCACTATAAAGAACCAGGGCTCCTTAAAGAATTGCCCAATTCTAGGGCTGTCATAATGATGAACCTAGAATGTCCTGCTGAGCCAGAAAGCAGGGAAAGACTTCCATATGTGCAAAATAGGAAGTAGTGTGGACAGACTTTCCTTCCTGTCTGATTTGTTGTTTGGTTACAAACAACTACACAGGCTGGGTGTGGTAGCTCCTGCCTGTAATCCCAGCACTCTGTAAGACTGAGGTGGGAGGATCACTTGAGGCCAGGAGTTCAAGACCAGCCAGCGCAACACACTAAGACCTTGTCTCTACAAAATAAAAATATTAGCTGGAGGGCGGTGCCTGTGGCTCAGTGAGTAAGGCCTGGCCCCATATACCAAGGGTGGTGGGTTCAAACCCAGCCCCAGCCAAACTGCAACAAAAAAAATAGCCAGGTGTTGTGGTGGGCACCTGTAGTCCCAGCTACTCAGGAGGCTGAGGCAAGAGAATCACCTAAGCCCAAGAGCTGGAGGTTGCTGTTAGCTGTGATGCCACAGCACTCTACCATGGGTGACAGAGGTACTCCTGTAGTCCCAGCTTTGGGAGGCTCAGGTGGGAGGACAGTTTGAGGCAGTGAGCTATGATTGAGCCACTTCACTCTAGCCTGGATGACACAGCAAGAACCTTTTTCTTAAAAACAGTAACAAAAAACAAAAAGACTTGACCAAGATAGGAAGCAATAATTTCCAAGATATTAGACTGGCAACAAGGAACAGCGATCTCTGAAAATGAGAAACAAATGAAGCAAGCGACACATCCCTGCCTTGAGAGAGCTTCCAGGGTTTGGTACAGGGAGGACAACACAGGTACAGCCTTCTTGAGTTGAACTAAGACTCCAGGAAGACTAATGCAGGGACAGTTTGCAGGACAGAGTTCTAGAGAGGAGGGAGCTGTGCTAAGAATTCTGAAGAACTCCCAGAGTCCCACTCAAGTATCTGTAGAGTACCGATTAGAAAATTCATGAGAGAAAACTACTCAAGGATGAAAACAGAACCACCCAAAATGATTAGACGAGATGTAGTATTTGACATTTGCTTGTTCCCACCAGATCTGAAAACTTCATAACTTTAAACAATTTTCAGAATAGTAGGGTACATGTGTTTTATTGACGTCCTTTATTTTTGTTCAGTGTGCCTTATCCAGATAGTGTGCGCTGCACCCAACAGGTGCACCCCCTTTCCCTCCCCCAGCCTGACCTTCACTGAGATCTACTTCCATATGTGCACTTGCGTGTTGATTGCTTAGTTCCAGTTGGTATTGGGCACATGTGTTTGTTTCTCCATTCTTGTAATGTTTCACTTAGAAGAATGGTTTCTAGTTCTATCCAGACTGTCACAAAAGATACTAGATATTTTAAATGGCTGAGCTGTACTCCATGGTATGCATAAGAAAACTTCATAATTTTAGGGATACAGCATAAAGAACACAGATGGGTCGTAATTCAGTAGTGGAGAAAAATTAGTCCTAGACTAAATGCCATTCTGTTCACGATTAACAGAGCTTAAAATCAAGACCTGAAAGGATCAAACTGTTTCCAGGTCGTTTAACTGCATTCTAAAACAGAGCTCAAGGGTATTTATAGAAATGCAAAAAAATCCAGTATTCAACAAGGTAAAATTCACACCTGGAATCTAATAAAGAAACTACTAGGCAGGGCAGCACTTGTGGCTCAGTGGGTAGGTCGATGGCCCCATATATGGAGAGTGGCAGGGTCAAAACCAGCCAAAAAAAAAAAAAAAATTGCCAGGCGTTGTGGCGGGCGCCTGTAGTCCCAGCTACTCTAGAGGCTAAGGTAAGAGAATTGCCTAAGCCCAGGAGTTGGAGGTTGCTGTGAGCTGTGTAACACCACAGCACTCTACTGAGGGTGATAGAGTGAGACTCTGTCTCTACAAAAAATCCCCCCCAAAACAAAAAACTACTAGACAAAGAAGTAGGAAAATATGACCCATAATAAATAGAATAAGCATAAGAAAAACTAATCCAGAAATGAATTAGCAGATAAAGGACATCAAAATAGTTAACTGTAACTATATTCCATATGTCCTAATTATTCAGCAGAAATATGGAAGATATGAAAGGACCCAAATAAGACTTCAACAAATGAAAACTACAATGTGTGAAATGAAAAACATACTGGATGGGATTAATGGCAGATTAGGCGTAAAAATGACAGCAGATTTCTTGTCAAAAGAATGCAACAACTTTAAAGTACAGAAGGAAAAAACTTGTCAACTTTGAATTCCATACACAGTGAAATTATCTTAAAATGAAAACAAAATAAAAACTTTTCATACTTACAAGGGTTGAAAAAATTCATACTCAGGCAGAAGTAAAATGATACCAGATGGAAATATGGATAATCACAAAGACATAAAGAGCACTGGAAATGGCAACTATGTAAGCGACTGCATAAGCCTTTTTTTCTGTATTATTTAAATATCCTTAAATGATAACTGTGCTTTTAAACAAAAATAGTAAGACTGTAGTGTGGGTGTTATAACATATGTAAAAGCAAAATGGATGACTATAATAGCACAAAGGCCCAAAGGGGAGAAATAGAACTATACTATTTGAAGGTTCTTGTACTATGCTTGAACTGGTACATTACTTAAAGGTAAAATATAAGTTAAACATGTATACTATAAACCTAAAGCAACCTTAAAAAAGCAAAATAAGAATTGGCCAAGAAACAAGATAAAATAGAGCAAAAAGTATTCAATTCAAGGGAAGCACAAAAAGAGAAAAAAGTTAACAAAACACAGACAGGATATACAGAAAACAAACAAGTTTAAACTGAACCATGTCAATAATTACATTAATTGTAAATGGTCTAAATGTCCCAAGGACAGAGATTGTCAGGCTA